TGTGGTCAATTCAGTTGATTGGACATGATTTAAAAAGGCACACACCTGTCTATATAAGATCCCAGGGTTGACAGTGCATGTCAAAGCACAAACCAAGCATGACGACAAAGGAATTGCCCGTAGACCTCCGAGACAGGATTGTCTTGAGGCACAAGTCTGGGGAAGGTTACAGAAAATTTTCAGCTGCTCTGAGAGTTCCAATGAGCACAGCGGCCTCCATCAACCGTAAGTGGAAGATGTGTGGAACCACCAGGACTCTTCCGAGAACTGGCGGACCATCTAAGCTGAGTGATCAGGTGAGAAGGGATTGTCAGAGAGGTGATCGTTCTTCTGTGGAGAGAGGAGAACCTTACAGAAGGACAACCATCTGTGCAGCAATCCACCAATCAGGCCTGTATTGTAGAGTGGCCAAACGGAAGACACTCCATGACTGGAATTTGCAAAAAGGCATCTGAAGGACTCTCAAACCATAAGAAACAGAATTCTCTGCTCTGATGAGACTAAAATTTAACTCTTTGGAGTGAATGCCAGGCTTTATGTTTGGAGAAAACCAGGCTTCGCTCATCACCAGGCTAACACCATCTCTACAGTGAAGCATGGTGGCGGCAGCATCATGCTGTGAGGGTGTTTTTCAGCAGCAGGAACTGGAAGACTAGTCAGGAAAGAGGGAAAGATGAAATGTACAGAGACATCCTGAATAAAAAAACCTGCTCCAGAGTGCTCCTGACCTCAGACTGGGGCGACAGTTCATCAACCATGATAGAGTTTGAGAGGTGCTGTAAAGAGGAATGGGCAAAAATTCCCAAAAACAGGTGTGCCAAGCTTAAGGCATCATATTCAAAAAGACTTGAGGCTGTAATCGCTGCCAAAGGTGCATCAACAAAGTATTGAGCAAAGGCTGTGAAAACTTCTGTACATGTCATTTCTCAGCTTTTTTTATTATTAATAAATTTGCAACAATTTCAAAAACTCTTTTTTCCACATTATTCTTTATGTAACTTGTAAAAATGTGGGAAAAGTGAAGCGCTATGAATACTTTCCCGATGCACTGAATTATTTATGCAGCGGATGTCATTCCAGCCACAACCCAGTACTAGGGGACACCCATACTCTCTCACATTTATACACACACAGACACACACTACTCAGAAATCCCAACTGGCCCATCCTGGACTCGAACCAGCACCTTTCTTTTTGTGAGGCAACAGTGCTAACCACTGAGCTGCCCTAATCCTCATTATAAAGTAACAATTAAATAAAATAAGGGCTGTCATCTTACAGCAAGAAGGTCGCTGGTTTCTGTGTGGAGTTTGCATGTTCTCCCCATGTTTTCATGGGTTTCCCCTAGGTGCTCCGGTTACCTCTACAGTCCAAAGACATGCGGTACAGGTGAATTGGGAAAGCTAAATTGTCAGTGGTGTATGTGTGTGAATGAGTGTGTATGGATGTTTCCTTGAGATGGGTTGCAGCTGGAAGGGCATTGGCTGCGTAAAACATATGCTGGATAAGTTGGCGGTTCATTAATAAAGGGTCTAAGCCGAACAGAAAATGAATGAATGAAAGAATCAATAAATAAAATAAGAAAATTCAAAAAAGAGCCTTCGAGTTTATTTGTTCAACTTGTTTATAAACTAAATTTAAATAAATAAAATTAAATAAAATTAACTTTAAACCCCATTTGAATGAAGCGGTCTAAAATAAATAAATAAATAAAACTGCAAATTTGTCTGTTATGGGGTACCATTATGATGCTGCAATTAAAAAAAAAAAAACTAAATAAATCAGCTATAATTTATATAAACAAGTTACCCCATTATAAAAGTTCAAACTAAAATAGATGTTAAATGATAAAACATTATTAAACATCAAAAATAAAATTTGAAAATCAACCATATTAAGCAGCAATTAAATAAAAACTTAAAAAGGTTCACATAAGCCATTCAAGGCCAATTTAACTATAATAACATCAATAAATTCATGTTTTTTTTTTCCATTCCTATTTATAAAAAATCATTTAAGCAACAAAAAAGTTAATCTGTTCAGCCCCTATTATTAAGTAGCAATTAAGCCGAAATAAATTGATATACAAAAATGGCAAATTCATCTGTCGATTCATCAAGCTGATTATAAAGTATGCAAGGCTTCTTGAACAATTTCAAACGTTTAATAGGGTCTGCTTTGTATGATTTAGGACGAATTTTAGCATTTGTTTTGCACAAAAAGTATTTTTGATATAACTAAAATAAGAGCAAAAACCTCTAATAAAATCAGCCATAATTTATATAAACAAGTTACCCCATTATAAAGTTCAAATAAAAATAGAAAACTACAAATGACACTCAAAATATATGTTCCTCCATATTTAAATGATAAAACATCATTAAAAATGAAGAATAAAACGTGAAAATCATCCATTTGGCCATGTTATTAAGCAGCAATTAGATAAAACCTTTAAAAGGTTCAAATAAGCCATTCAAGACCTGTTTTTCAAATGGAATATTTCATGAAAATGTTCATCAATTTAACTAACAAAACATACAAAAATGGCAAATTCATCTGTCGATTCATCAAGCTGACTATAAAGTATGCAAGGCTTCTTGAACAATTTAAAACAGTTAATAGGGTCTGCTTTATAAGATTGAGTTTTTAGCCTTTGTTTTACACAAAGAAAGTATTTTTAATTAAACTAAAATAAGAACAAAAACAACAAAATTGAATGAACTATTTAATAAAACAAAAGGTTTTTGTGAAGGTAGGCTGGATGTGAATATGAAGTGTTCTTACCGGTTTAGAATTGGAGAAAGACACTAAAAACAATCCAAACAGTGCTGGTCTCAAACCATCCATCTTTTATTGAACTTCTCTCTCTGTTAAAGAAGAACAGTTGCTCATCTCAATAACAAAACAACCAACAATGGACAGTAAGATTAACAGTAGATGCGCTTTTTAAAATTGTTTTGCTTTTAAACATATTTTTTACCTTGCTTGTTCAAACTCCTCAGGAACAGTCTGATTTTTTCAAGTAGGCAGTAGGCTACGGTCTGATGCTGGAAGTGAAACAGCACTGCTATATTTATATGAGAATTCATTTTTCCCCACACATGGACAAATTTACGCTTGGTGTTAGATCGTTGAGATGTTTATGTGCTGTTTTCTCTGTAATTTGGCATTTGGTTTGCTGTGTTTGAGACAGAAGTCAGACCTCCACCGGAGAGAGCCAACGGTCAACAAGCCGTTTATTGGTTAATTCCAGTAAACATGTTTTGTTTGCATCAATTTGACCCCGGTTTAATTGAAAGCACACCCAGAGGCTCAACCTTCCATTTGTTTGTTTTTTTGTCATGGTGTGAAGGATGAATTAATCATAAAAGCCTCAGATGCTTTTATAAGACAACACATTCATCAGTGTGTGGCGAAAACAGGATCAGACGAGCCACAGAAACAGCCTACAGTGGAGATTCCAGTCAGACGCAAACACTGCTTTATTTTTAATCAGCACAGTGAATAAAACACCACAAACAAAAGACTGAAGACAGTTCTGCCAGTAATGGTTATTTTTGTCATCCAGACTTCGGCTTTATCTCTTTTTCTGCAGCGCAAGTACAGAAGCCAAATACTGTTGTGGCTAGAAGGGAGATAGCTGCGGCCGGAAGTTAACAAGTATAAATATCGTCGATCCCCAAAAAGCATAGATTCTAAGCTCTTTACCCCAATCATCACAGTATTGTAAAGCAGTAATTATACCCATATTATTTATTAAATTATCAAATAAATCAACCCTCACAGTAGCTACAACAAAAATAATAATTACTGGTGTGCAGTGTCATAAATTATGTGAGAATCCGTAGCTGTATCCCATCTTATTATACCGCCTAAATCAGGGAGGTCAAACTCCGTTCCTGGAGGGCCGTAGCCCTGCACAGTTTTGTGCAGGGCTTCGGCCCTCCAGGAATTGGAGTTTGACATCCCTGGCCTAAATAGATCACAGGATAAATCACTCACTCTTTATAATCCATTTAGTCTTTATTTTTAAATATTCTGATCATCCTAACTTTAAAACTTTCTAGATGGATAGATAGAGAGAGAGAGAGAGAGAGAGAGAGAGAGAGAGAGAGAGAGAGAGAGAGGCTACTAAATGAGTCTAAGTTCTTAGTTTGGCTGGAAGAAATAGGTTTAAAAATATAAACATTGCTAAGGTCAATATCATTCGCCCCCTTAAGATTTTATTTTCCCCAACTTGCTACAGAACAGAAAAAAAAAACGCTGTTGTCCAAGGACTTGCCTAATTACTCTATCTAAAAAAACTAGCTTAAACTAACCCAAGCTGGTTTTAGCTGGTCGACCAGCCTGGTTTTGGCTATTTCCAACCCGGTCTTGCTGGGAGCTGAGCAAGAGCCCAGCAAAAACCAGCTACTGTATAATATCCAGCTTAAACCAGGCTGGTCAAGCTGGTTGTAGCTGGTAATTTTCCAGCCTGACCAGCTAAGACCCAGACAGAAAATGGCCGAAACCCCTCTAAAACCAGGCTGGTCAACCAGCTAATTGGTTTAAGTTTTTTTTTCCAGCAGGTACCCATCTTGCCTAGTTAATTATGGAACAATATTGTGCCTCTGTTGTCAAAGATACTAGCTTATTGATAACCTTAAGGCTAAGGTTTGTGGTTAAACAGGCGAATAAGAGACTACTAATGATTACTCTTATTACACAACTCGGTCATTAAAAACATTTGTAAAAAGTAAAACATTTAAAATATCCTGACATCCTAATTTCTAAACTTGATTTAGGTGGATAGTCTCATTTAGTAGCCCCTCTCTCTCTCTCTCTCTCTCTCTCTCTCTCTCTCTCTCTCTCTCTATATATATATATATATATATATATATATATATATATATATATATATATATATATTTGTTATTCGCCTGGTGGAAGTTCTTAGTTTGGCTATGAGCAATCGGATTTTTTTTTTTTCTCATGTAAACATTGCTAAAATCGATATTAAGATTAAGGCTAACAAACTACAATTCCAACAGGTGTTAGACTACTACCATTAATGCATTTTGGTTTGTCGTTAGACACATTAGAGACTCCTGATTACTCATTACACAACTCAACCATTAAAAACATTTTTAATAAGAAAAACATTTATAAAACAGATCCAAAAATGGGTAAAATCCACTGATAGTAGTTTGATGGTATTGCCCCCTTTTAACAAACTTAAATTTTCAGTAATCAATTTGACTTTCAGCTCTACTGAAGTCAAGAGTCATTCAATACATGCTTAAACCAAAGATTTGAAACAATGCACAGAAGTGTAACGTTTTAAAGCTAATTGTTATAGTAGTCTAATTTTAACAGCTCGTGATATTCAATGTAATCACTCTTGAGACCTGCCAAATGTTGTCATTAACCCTTGTGTGCTGTTGGGGATAATTTCGAGTCTTAATTTGGCCACAACTTTCACCGTGTCAGCAAAATTTAATGCTTTTTGGTGACAAATTCAAAGCATTTTCCCCAAAGTGTCAAAATAAGATTTGTTTATTTATTTATTTAAATTCAACAATACACTCTGGGCAAATTGACCACCCTTTTCTCATGTTCTGGGCTGTTTTTGTTTCATTGACTTCCATTATAATGACATTTTTGACTGCAAAGCAATGACTGCATATTATCATACACATGATTGGTGGAAGAGGTCACATTTCTCATTTATACTGTTGATCATCAGTTGCAGTGTTAAAAAAAGCTTAGATTCTGCCTTCAATGCATTTTTGTGTGTACTTGAGAGACTTTTGCACACATATCTTGATATGCGAGTAAATCAAAATAAGCAGCTCAGCTCTCAGAACATAGTAAACATTGTTTTTACTGTTTTACTCCAAATAAAAGCCAGAAACTTTGTTTGCACAGGCCTATCCAAAGAATAATGCTGCCAACTGATGACCAACAGTAAAAATTACACATTTTACCTCTTCCCAACAGGGAAAACCACCAAACAATAAAGAATGCATGATTATATGCGGTCATGGCTTTACAAAAAAATAAAATAAATGATAAGTCAATGGGGTCAAAACAGCCACCAACATAACGAAAGGGTAGTAAATTTAAATACAAGAGTTAACAATCTTTCTCTTTTTTAGCAGATGCAGCGACTCTCAACATGTCTGGGGTTTTCAGCCTGTTATTGAGATCTTCCATTGGATTTATCACAGTTTGGCCGTTCTCAGATGTCGGAAGAAAAACACCAGGAACGATGGCAAACGCTGGCTGAAGATCACTGGAAGCAGTCTGACCAGGAGACACGGGTCTGTCCACCGCACCCATGGAGCTCCACTCTTTAGGATCCACATAGACGAACACTGGCAGCTGATCATTGTTTAAATCGTCTCCTCTGGGCTGTGGACAGGGTTCTCCTGTAGGCTGAAGGTTATTAAACGGCACCGGCTTCACCAGTGCTGTTGTTAGACGTCTTGTTGCAGTAACAGGGGGTCTGACCATTGCTGGACGTCTTGTTGCAGTAACAGGGGGTTTGACCGTTGCTGGACGTCTTACATCATCACCAATGTAAATTTCAGGAGTGATGTCATTGAAATCGTTAGGCTGATAGATGGGGATATTATAGTATGGATAAACCGGTCCATATCTGTATCCGTATCCATAGTCATAACCAAAACCCAGCTGACGTCTGCGTCTTTCTCTCTGGATCATATAGAGAAATAAATTGCATTTGAGTTGAAAGGTTAAAGGAAATACTGAAATTTCATTACATCTTTAAAGGTGCAGCAGGTGATTGTCTTAAGCATGTTTTGTAGTGCTGGTCGAAAGTCTCTTCACATTCCAATAGTAATGATTACAGTGAATGATCTAAAAGTGTTTATATGTATTTTTATATTTTGGGTAAGGCATAAGACTAAAAAAACGTTGATCAAATTAAAAGTTGTCAGGCAGACAATTCCCATAATTCAATTAAGTAGCCCAAACTGCCTGTCAACAAATGTTGATTTGTACATCACACCCATTCATGTGCAATGCACAGGGAGTGACAGCAGTAAAAGCAAATGCTTAATCAAAACTTTAAATCCTGAATCAATATTGGAGTTAGTTTTGCACACTGGTGAAGGACGACACCTTGTCTGAAGTATTTCTGTTAGACAGGTAATGTTCTGTCTTTAAGCTAGTTTAGTCATGCAAAGCTAATGTAGATTGTGTTATGAATGGGTTATCTGCACAGAAGTGTTGTTCAGCCACTGAAATCCCCTGGTGAAAGATTGATGCGACTATTTTCAGTTTTATAAGGTTCTGACAGCATCGATAAAGTAGATTTTTATTTTCATATATATATATTAAGGGTGGAGCCGAACCCGAATACGGTATTCGGAAAGGCACGAATAGCGTGTTTTTACGAATACTTATTTCGAACAAATACTTGAAAAATTATTTGTATTCGGGAGCAAGAAAAACACTATCAAAAAGCAGCGTTTCCTCAAGAGACCACAGTGCATGCCCGCGTGAGTGAGAGAGAGAGAGTGAGAGAGAGTGAGAGTGAGAGTGAGAGTGAGAGTGAGAGTGAGAGAGAGAGAGAGAGAGAGAGAGAGAGAGAGAGAGAGAGAGAGAGAGAGAGAGAGAGAGAGAGAGAGAGAGAGAGAGACGCTCAGTCGGAGGGCGGGGCTGTCTGGCACAATCTTCTCCACAGATACAGAAAGAGAAGGCTCGGCTAAGCGAAAAAAATATTTTACTGCATCACTATTTTTGTTAAATAGATTTTTGTACCTTAATTGGGTTCCAGATGCAGTTTATAAACTTGTAGCGGAGTTTGATCGGGATCGGGAAGTTTGCAATCGGGTGCTCTATGTTTACGCAACGTTAGCTCTGTTAGCGCGGTAATTTAGACAATAGACTGTTGACAGAGTAACATTAACGTTCGTTTATAAAGGTTAAAACGATGCTTGTGCTGTTGTGTCGAATAGTATGCACTTATGGGAGTTATATGGTACGTCTACATTACTGTCTTTTGCAGACAGCAAGATATATGCTATAGGCTAGTTAACCTTAGCATAGCTTCCAGTCACTTTTTATTAACTTGAAACTCCTCAAATACATTTGGGCACCCGAATAGAAAAAGAGTGAGAGTGCTGCTGAGCCATTTCTTGGTCCTCCACCAGTCTAAAAAAAAAAAAAAAAACAACATGTTCTTTGTGGAAGAATTTTACAGTCAGTGGTGCTGCAGATAAAACAAAGTGATACTGTATAATGTGGGCAAAAGTGAAATCGGCAGAGATATTAAACATCTGTCAACATCTTCTATGCATAATCATTCATTTCTTTTCGGCTAAGTCCCTTTATCAATCTGGGGTTGCCACAGTGGAATGAACCACCAATTTATCCAGCATATGATTTACGCAGTTGCTGCCCTTCCAGCTGCTACCCAGCACTGGGAAACATCCATACACTCTCTTTCACACACATACAATAGGGACAGTTTAGCTTACCCAATTCACCTATATTGCATGTGTTTGGACTGTGGGGGAAACCGGAGCACCCGGAGGAAACCCACGCCAACATGGGGAGAACCCAGTCAGGGCTCGAACCAGCAACCTTCTTGCTGTGAGGCGACAGTGGTACTCACTGTGCCACCGCGCAACCTTCTATGTAATGTATTATCACATGCACTAAAAGCATCCTCTCCTGATACTGTCTGTGAACCCCCCACAAGCATCAATCCCCTCAATCAGCACAGCGATGCTCTGCTAAATCCTCCACAAGCACCAAACCATCAGCCACATTCTGCCCCAGCAAGTCAGTTTCAAACTTAAAAAAACAAACAAACAAACTTTGTGTCTGTTTTGTGGCAGGCAGATGACAATAGCAGGGCTGTATCTTTTAGTATTATATAGAATACTTTTGTTCTGCCAGATCTCCCAGGCAGGGGTTTATTAAGATTTATTTAGTTAATTTTAGTATTTGGAATTCTGTCCATTGGAAAGAAGTTCTTTCAGAAGAAGAACAGTTTTTTGAAGTATTATTTGTTTTTATTCTGTCTATTCAGTGTCCTACAACAAGAATGGTGGTGGTGAGGTTCATAATATTCACAATGGTATTTTATTAGTTGTTGGTTTAACCATGGATGAGATAATGGCTTCTATGTTATTTTCTTTTCAATGACATTTCTTGTCACATGTTCAAAAACAACAACCAATATTGCATGACTATAATTTATATAATGGGTATAATTAAACAAGACTTTCACTATAACGTAAATTAGAAGTGTAATAGAAAAAATATATATTTCTGCGCCATTTTGAATTTTACTCGAATACAAATACTTTTCCCACTCAACAAATACAAATACCGGCTGCTCCGCACATCCCTAATATATATATATATATATATGTCACGATCCACCAAATCCTCGATTCGATTACATTTTCGATTATGAATAATTAATTAATTAATTAATTAATTATTTGTAGCCTACAGTTTTAACTACCTGACTTGCATGGTCTTTGTTTTACCCATAAACAAATCATACAGTAAATGAATAAAGGTAAGTTACACACATAATTGCCATCGGTCAATGACTTTTTTCTGCGGGACTCGTGAATAGGCAGTGATGTGTCGTTATAATGGCGTTGGTAAAAAAAAAAAAAGGTGCACAACCAACAGGAACCAGCCAACAGTATCCGAGGTGTTGGCTAAAATGACTAAGTACTTGTGTGAAAGTAAAAGATGGAAGCAGTCTACTGACCAGCTGACTGCCTTGACCCGCTGTCGAGCGCATGACACTGTGTGTGCGTCTGTGTGTGAATGAGTGTGTGTGGTCACGTGATGTGCGTTTTCAGCGGTAGTGAGGAAGGAGGGCTGCTCAGAAATGCCACACGCCAGTGTGGATGTGAATCGTTGTCGTTCTAAAATGCCATTTAAAAACAAACATATTAGTGTAAACTGGGCCTGAGTGTGTATTTTTCGCGAGCAGATTTGCAACGGGTGCAGGGCAGAAGATCGCGATGCGCCCATCGACTATCATCCCAACTGTAATACGTACATAGCAGAGCTTGCAAACTGTGTTTTTTTTTTTTTGTCGACAACACGAACGTTGTCAACATAACTAACTGGAAATCCAAAATACTTCCACACCGACGACTTCATTGAAAGAGGAGAGGATTTAAGCTGTCGACGGGTCTCCTGCGTCTGCAGTTTAACAAGCACTTCAACAAGCATGTTTTTTTCCCGCTTGGCAAACCCAAGCTAACATGACATGGGGGCGTGGCAGCATCGACGATTCTATTTTTTGATTCGATAATCGAAGTTGAGCATAAATTTCGATCGATTTCGATTAAAAATCTAAATCGTGACACCCTTAATAAATATATATATATATATATATATATATATATATATATATATATATATATATATATATATATATATATATATATATATATATGCGCGTTTCATTTATGTGGAATTGCAAGAATAGGACTCCGCGACATGACAGCAGACAATCCACTCGTTCACGTCATTTTACCAGTTAGAAATGTAGTTAGTCGTTGGCCAGTGGGTGCAGAAATTACACTTGTTACTAAAGCAGGTCGCACACCAGAAGCGGCGCTCGGCGGCGCGCCGCGCAGCGCCACGCAGCGCCATGTATTTTAGAATTCTAAACATAGGTTTCTATCAGGATACACACACCAGCGCCGCAAGTCGGTGGCTGTCGGCGGCGCCCGGCGACGGCTCAGGACGCAGTTCATTTTTCAGCCGCGCCACAGAGCGCCATCTGATTAGTGTCATGTTAAATATCATTCGAATGTGCGCGTCTGGTGTGCGATACTTTAAACTGTCATGTACGCGCCGTGTCGCGGCGCCGAGCGGCGCTTCTGGTGTGCGACCTGCTTAAGCCATACTTGCATGCCATTTCAGAGTGAATATTCAGAGTAGCATGGTAAACAGTATAGGGAGTGCATCACATGTTATCATTGCTTTTATAATCACATTCATTTTTAAACAACTAGACCTCTGTAAAGCAGGCTAGGCAGCATGGCACTATTTACTAATGTTTTATTGTAAAACTAAATAAAAATCTACATTGATGATGTAAAAGGTCCCTTATGACATTGAAAATAGTCACATAAATCTATCGCCAAGAGATTTCAGTGGCTGAACAACACTTCAGTGCAGATAACCCATTCGTTACAACACAATCTACATCAGCTTTGCGTGACTAAACTTGCTTTAAGACAGAACATTACCTGTCTAACAGAAATACTTCGGACATGGTGTCGTCCTTCCTCCACCATGCAAAACTAGCTCCAATATTGATTCAGGATTAAAAAAAGTTGATCAGCATTTGATTATACTGCAACTGGGATTGTCTCGTGTGCATGTAAACGCACAGCGCACATGCAGGGGTGCACACACAAATAGAGGATCTGCGTGAACAGATGCGCTGTTGTACAAATCTACATTTGCTGACAGACAGTTTGGGCTACTTATCAGAATTATGGTAACTGTCAGCCGGAAAATATTTAATTGAATGAACATTTTTTAATCTTATGCCTTACCCAAAATATAAAAATACAAACATTTAGATCATTTACTGTAATCATTACTATTGAGATGTGAAGAGACTTTCAACCAGCACAACACAACATGTTTCTGAAGACAATCACCTGCTGCACCTTTAATTTTTAAAGTCTGTTGTGAAACTCACCTTATATAAAGGCGAACCCACTGGGAAGCCAAGGGTCACGCATAATAGGCTGACAAAAATTATGAAATTCTTCATCCTGTTTTAGAAAACAGATTTTAGACCGATTTCCTACACAAATCAGAACAATTTATGTAAAAACAGTTACAAATGAATATTACCTAATATATTACCTTGAGATCAGTCAGAGCTTGTCTACCGTTGTACCGTCCTTAGCAATCTTCAAATTACACTTCAGAGCATGCATTAATCCTCTTTGATGGATTGATAATGTCATTGTAGGTGGAGCCTTTAAGTTTTCAGTGTAACCCCGCCCCTTAAATTCCCTCTACTATTTGGTTGTGGTCAAGACGTTCATTTCACAACACGTTCATTAAATAAAATCAGTTTAATCTTTCATTATGACTGATACACAATGTGGTGGCTGTGGCAAAATCAGTTCTTACTGAACTTATGTGGTAAACCAAGATGATATCAGCAGTCGGTGAGTTAAAGTATTCTGCCTTTAGACCCATTGGATGACAACAGAATGACTAGTGAAAGTCTGATTACATGCAGACAATAATATTAAACAGACTGTGAATTTGACTTTTCCAAATGCGACATGACTTTATTCAAGAAACCAAGGTACTTCAGCCGACGTGATGAAGCTAGTCCACAGACGTCACCACATTTTCCTGAAACGGATATAAAAGTCATGTAATATCTAGTATGATTAAATGGGAATATTTTAAGCACAACAGGAAGAATTTAAGGTCACATGGTTTTATAATTAAAGGGGTCACGAACTGCAGATACAGTGTAAACCAGATATATCAGGATGTACAACTTATTCCAGAATTGGTTACATTTAATCATTTTCCCTTCATTTTCCTTAAAGGGGACCTATTATGGACCTCCTTACAAGATCTAAAATAAGTCTCTGATGTCCCTAGAGTGTGCAAGTCAAGTTTCAGCTCAAAATACCCCATAAATAATGTTTAAAACTGACCCTTTTAGGCTTTGATCTATGATGTAGCATTTTGGTGACTCGCTTTAAATTTAAATGAGATTATGCTTTTGAAAAGACGGCGGAGCTACAAACGCTTGTGCATCAGGACTAATGTTATCTTTCATTTGTGCTTCATTACAATAGTCGCTGATATCATCTTCAGCAGGTTTGGTACTAAAACTCGGATGGCTGCTTCTTACTCAGGGTTGTTTATGCTAATGAGGGAGAGAACGTCACTACACCATTACAATTAGAGGGCCACCAATAATGTGGCTTGCAACTGTGCCGATATAAGTCTTGATTTTACAGGACGCTTTTACAGCACATTAACATCCGCATCAAAAGATCAAGGGTAATAGGTTTCCTCAATTCATGTCCCCATTAATATCCCGAGTATATTTTTCCTTTAATATAACTAGCACTCTCTCACTTTATACCTCTGATACTTCTGTGTCCTTTCCATTCGATCTAGCTGAAGATGCTTCACGTCTTTTCTCCAGTTCCTTCATGCCCGTCTCCTGCATGTCCACAGTGTGAGCTGCTCGTCTGAACACACAAACATGCTTCAATCAGAGTAAATCAGTAGATGGTAAGTCACTTCAGAAAATAAGTTAAATATTAATTGCATCATTAAAATTGTACCTAAATTTATTTTCTAACTTTTATATCTGAAAATTAAGGAATAGAATTACTTGACACTACTTAAAATCCCTATTTATCGTAATCAAAAATAAAGCTAAAAAGATGTTTGACTCAAATGTAAAAAAAGTTCACAGTTAACATTTGAGTCAAGCGTCTTTAACTTTTAAAAAGCTGAAGTATTATTTTTTTTTTAAAGAATAACATTTTTAGGTTAACAAATAGTGTCTCTACAAAATAAAAAATAAATAAGTATCATTAATCAAAACACTGACATTGCATAATGTCTAAAGGGGAATAGTTCAAAAATGAATATTCTGTCAATTTACTCACTCTACTTCAATGTGCTTGAGTGAATGTTACACTTGCATATCATCTTTTGCAGCCCTTTACATAAGCACCATGTTTTTAATACACAGTGTAAAATTAAAAGGAATTACATTTTTACACTCAGTAACGACAATAGTGGAGGTGGCGCTTTAATTTTTTTAAGCTATCCTGAGTTAGATGTTAGGTCTAGAACAGGGGTCTCAAACTCAAATTGGCAGGAGGGCCATTTCAGTCACTGACAATTCATCGGAGAGCCGTTTTAACATTAAAGTACAAGAAAAAGTGGAAACCGGATGTAATTGATGCCTCTTCAAGCATTACCCGTCACCAGTGATGACGCAAATTAGCACGTGTCACACATCAGCTGCTGAAATAAATCTGTGGTTGTTGTGTGTATGGCAGAGCGTTAGACACAGTCATTCTTCCACAGAGTACATGCAGGCAAAACTGCAGGGGCTTCATGTACAAAGACTTGAATTCATACTAAAAACTTGCGTACGGACAAAGCTGTAAACGTGCATACGCAGTAAAAAATTCAAAAGTATGAAACACTGCGTACGCTGAATCCCACACATACTCTCTTTGTACATCCGAATTAATGTGAAACTGAGCACACGTGCACGAGCGCAAAACCCCTCCCTGCTTCCTCCCCTGTAAAACTATGGTAATGACTCTACTTTGGCAAAACCAAATGACAAAGCAATGGCAAAAGCAAGCAAGAAGAGAAACTTCAAAGAATGTGAATTGAAGGTGCTCCTATCGGAGGTAGACCAGAGATAAAAAGTTATTTGCAAGTTTGTCCTCCGGAATTAATAACTAAAGAAAAAAAATAGAGCGGGAGAGTTTAGCTGATGCTTTTAACGCAATGGGGTCTGAACATCGCACTGTGAGTGAATAAAAAAAAAAAAATCATGTCTGATGTAAAGCTGCAGGTTAAGAGGAGAACAGCAGCGCACCGTCAAAGTATGGACCGAACAGGCTGGGGAACAGGGGATGCTGAACTAACACCCTTTGATTAGAGAGTTGCATTAATTGACCCTTTGCTAAGCCCCACCTTCTTTAGCGTTGCTACGCCTGTCAAGCTTTCGTGCCTGGCACGAATTTAGCCAAAAACCCTGATAGATTAATGTTGTGCAATGAAATATAGCATTAACAAACGACGAGGAAACATACATGGACAGTGCTTCTACATACTTCATTCATAGAAAGAACAGCCAGAAAGGGGAAATGATGGATTTGTGCCGAATATTAGCATCATTGACCCATAACAATGTACAGTAAGTTACCTATAACTCTTAGTATGTTTGCATGCTCTTCAATGAAAATCAGCTGCGGGATAAATATATTGGTTGCAAGTGTTCAGTTTGTGCATCACATCTTGGTTTTGTTCTGTTGATTTGTAATTTCAAATATTCGTAGCTTAAAAATATGACGTTCAGTAAAGTTAGCAACACATTCGCAGATTGGTATTTTTCAGATGAAGAACTCCTGTCATTATGACCTATTCGCTATTACTATGCAGGGCTCGAAATTGCGACCATTTTGGTCGCATATGCGCCCGAAATTTCTGGGAGCATTTGTGCAACTGGATATAATGGGTGTAGTGCGACCTGTTTTCATTTTTTTCAAAAAACGGGCTGAATCGGTCTTCCCTGTTACTATAGCGGTCAATCATGTCATCTGATAGGCTTTCCACTATCAGATGACAGGGAGCTTTTGTGACCGCAGGAAACGCAAACGGCTGAAGAGTGAAAAGCACACAGGTTTGCAGACCTCACTTAAAGTCGTAACAATAATAATAAAGGTGCAGATGACAGCGATCATGACATGTTTAATGTTGATCCGCCAGCTGAGATGAGCATTTTCGGAGAAGGTGCCCGAATCTGGATGCGTTGCATTCACTGCGTGTTCAGTGCATATGTCCGCTAAATGTAAAATCTATGACTGTACAAAGAAGCTCGCCTTTAGGTTTACACTGAAACTGCGGCTCATAACAAGGAGCAGTATTGCACTGGTGGTCACCGCGAGAATCCTGCTCTGCCTGCTCATATATTGGTCCGGCTGACTCGCCTGCTTTCCACAAACACAGAAAAATGAAGATCAGCTCACAACAAGACTGAACATTTATGGTGCTTTCACACCTACACTTTTGTTTCGGAACGCGTCTCGTTTGTCCAGTTAGCGCAGTTCGTTTGGCATATATGAACAGGGCAATCGCGCTCTGTTCCGCGCCAAAGTAATCGCTCTGAGCCGAGACCACCTCATTCAAGCGATCTTGATTGAAACTAACCCTGGAGCAGTTCGATTGCAGTGAGAAAGCGATCCGATCCGAGCGCGGTTATATCAGTGTTTTATGGATATGTAATAGGCATACGGCTATATGAAGAGAGAATTATGAGTAGGGCGGGAAGTTTCGCGAGTCTCCGGATGCCCACAAACGAGTGATGATCTCCCGGTAATCTCGCGTCTCCCTCCCGGTTCTCAAATAGGCATCGTAACGCACCCTTCTCACCCCTCCCCACCGCGTCTCTCCTCAGACACGTTGCACGGACGCACCCTGTCAATCACCACCAAACCACCACCTCAACTGATAGTTTAGCGGGACCCTGCAAAATAAACCCTGACACTCTGACCAATGTGAGGAGAGTTTATCTCTTTTGGTCCGATTAGAAACTTTGCAATGTGAAAGCGAACCGCTCCAAGAGCAAAGAGCAACAATGTAACATTTGTAATCTGTTTCGGAACAACTGAATCGATTCACAGGTGTGAAAGCACTCTTAAAATGACAAACCCAAACCATACTTTTAAAGAGTGGAAGTGAGACTTTACTTTTTCTCAATTCTTTGTTGAGGTGTATATTATTTTGCTATTTAGTTACTGATGACTGTTTTGCAGCTTTCAGCATTGAATGATTTATAGTCTTTCGTTTATTTTGTAGCAGAAATATTGATTAAATTGACAAGCATATAAAAACAGCAGTACAAAATAAATATTTCTTACTGCAATGCTTCATGTGTGTTTGATGCAAACCCTAAATTTATTTTTCATAAAGTAACAGTAGGACTTTATTGCAGATAACTCGCAATCAAGCACATTTAAAGCAGCATCATAATGAGAAAAGTAATTCATTGTTAGTATTATTGACATTGTCATCATCATTAATATTTTATAATTATTAGACATTCGTTTTGGAATTATTACACAAATATCAATAGGTCATCTCAGCATTAGTTAGATAGTTGTTTCTGGGTTTTTCTAGTCCTAATTGATGCTGTTTTAAAATACAATAAATCCCTTAAAATACAATTTGCAATGGTGCTCATTCATTTTTGATGGGTGCTTCT